GTGTACTTCTCTACATGCACCAAAACGCACACGGTGCACTCCCTAAGTTACTGCCCACATATCTGAAACCAACTTTCCAACCCCAACTGTCCTTTTGACTGTTGAATCGCTGGCTACATCTGACCACTCCACTTTTGATAACAACTATTACAGAAAACAATCAACAACGGGACCAGGGGAGAGCCACGAAGATGATCAGAGGGCTGGAGAACCTCTCCTATGAAGATGGGCTGAAGGAGCTGGGCTTGTTCAGACTGGAGCAGAGAAGGCTGCGGGGAGACATCATTATGGCCCTTCCAGTATCTAAAGTGAGCTTATAAACATGAGGGAAATCAACTTTTTACGTGGGTAAATAAGTGATAGGAAAAGGGGAAATGGATTTAAACTCAAGGAGGGAAGATTTAGACGAGAATGTCGGGGGCAAGTTTTTCACTGAGAGAGTGATGAAGTGCTGGAACAGGCTGCCCCGAGAGGCTGTGGACGCCCTGTCCCTGGAGCAGTTCAAGGCCCCATTGGATGAGCCCTAGGCAGCCCAGCCTAGTACTTGATCTAGTAGTTGGCAGCCCTGCCTGTGGCAGAGGGATGGAACGTCATGATCCTTGAGGTCCATTCCAACCCAATCCATCCTATGGCTTTATGATGACTCTATGATACTGGTACAAACTGCACTTCGGTTTGGCTACACACAGATGCAAAATCTCTGCAGTGTATGAAGGCATTCCAAAACTAACAAAAATGTCCATGAAAGTTACTTGCTGTTTCAGTCTTTCAGCCATGTGAATCTGTGTTTGAGTCATGTGTTCCTGGTGCTGCTGCTGGAGTTGATCAAGCTCCTGTGATACAGTCTGCCAGAGCTCTATTGCTTGTTCTTTTTCCTAGAAAGAATAAAGGTCTCTAAAATATTTACAGTACACTTCTATTGAAATGCTTTTTTTTAATTATTATTGTTCTCTGCACACATTACAACCACACAGAAAAACAAACTCAGAGGCAAAAAAACCCCAGATGTTTACAAGATCACATTCCATCTAGACTGGAGCTGCAAGTTCTGCACTATTCTAATAGCTCCTACCAAAAGTAAAACTCTACTCACATTCTGAAACTGTCAAAGACTTGCAATTCTTTACTTTAGGACTACAGTATATATAATACTCAAATACCAAAAATCAGGAGTCAATTTAACCTCAGCTTAGTCCACTGCAAAAGAACTGAATCATCTCTGTAATATATTCAGGCCGTTTTGCTGATCTATTCAGATCTAACTGTTACTGTCTGTATTCCACATACAGTTGCCCCTCATTTCACATTACACTTTAATTAAAAATAAAAAAAAGTCACCCTACCACAATAACTTCAATCCAACAAAATATTTGATTCATCTTCTGGACAGAAATTCAACAAAGTAAAGTTAGAGGCACAAATGAACACAAAAAAATTCTGCTTGTATGGAACTAGAAAGGAACTTCCTTCAGGTTTTGAAGTTGAAAATGTAAGTATGGGTGCATTTGAGGTTGTTTGTTTTTTTTTTTTTTAAGCTATGTGCAATCAGGAAGGCCTCAAAATACTGTCAAGGAACTGCTATAAACAAATACTGAACCAAGAAACAAACTATCCTTCCCTAATCTGTCAAGGCACAGAAGAAACAGAAGAGTACAAGTGTTTCATCTCACACACCTGATTAGTCAGTTGGAGCTGTTCCTGAAGGTTTCTCACTATTTCTTCATCTGCAGGAATAGCAGTTCCCAGGGGCATAAAAGGAAGAGCATCCAGCTGCATCTCAAGAGCCTCTTTCAACTCTGCATGCAGCCTGAAATTCAAAAGACCAAGTTCAGTGCAATATTTATCTAATACACTGTCTCTAAATGAACTGAAGTACTGTACCTTTGATTTGTATGTACCATATACACCTAGCTCACTTTTGAATCCATTGAGCAAGATATGTTCTATAAAAAGGGTATAAATTAATACCGAGTTCTTTTGCAGAGATATGGCTAAGCCTGCTAAATTTGGTGCTGTAATCTATATTAGACAGAGTAACATTAAGCATGTGAGTATGAAATCTTCAACTATTAAGCAGATTCAAATATTTCCAAGCCTTAGGAAAAAGAGTTCCAGGCTTAAAGGACAGAAAAAAACACCAAACCACACAAGAAAATAGCAGCAGTATGTAAAGTGCTCTTCTTTACCTCCTGTTCTCCGTGGCGACCTGTTCAAACTTCTGTCTCATCTCACTCATCTGCACCTAATAAAAAAACATCTAAGAGGCAAACTGCAGCACTTTATTTTTTCAATAAACAATACTGAAAACAGTGACAGTGTCAATTCAGCACAATACCATCGATGACATTAAGACTTCACTTTGCAAAAAGTCACAGGAAGCCAGAAACGTACCTGATAAATCTGCAGCTGCTCCCTCATTTCTTCCAAGCACTTTTCATACTCTACGCTTTTTGTTATCAAGCTGAAACATGGAAAAACATGCTTAGAATTCATCTGTAAATGCTGAAACATTGTTCTGATTATTAACCAGCTTTACAGAATTCATGATCTGGAGAACAGAACAAAACTGTCGCTCCTCTTTATTCCCTTTGTATGATCTTTACTGATCATTAACTGTGTAACAGAAGCAGAGCATGCTTTCCAGATGAGCTTTAATACATTTGCATTACATACATAGATCAAGATCCAGAAAGATTAGAAACCAGGCTTTCTTATTGCTTTCAGCACAACAGTACAGTAACCCATACGAGGATGTAAAAAATCAAATAAATAATCACAGCTCTACTCATGCACTTATTTGCTTTTCAAGTCCTTCTGAAGCAGTATTCCCACTCATTTTACCTTTGGTCCATCATCCTGGATCTGGATATGCCATCACCTCCGGCGACGCTTTTCTGTAATTGATTATTTTGTATTTTAGCACATGACTGCATTTGTGGTTTGTTTTTATTCTAATGTGTGCAAAGCAAAGCAGTTTATTCAGTCCATATTGAAAAGAACATACAGACTCCCCAGCAATCATTTTCAGGTTGATATTACAGTCCTTGAACATTGGCCAGATTTGAAAAAACGCTCATTGCTTTTTTTCCTGGAAATGCTTTGCTATAAGGCATAACTGCATCAAATCTTTCTTAGAACAACCATTTTAAATCTATGCAAGAGCCACATTCACTTCTGTGCACGTGAGCCCCACGTTGGTGCTGATGCCTCAGCTTTTGCA